TGGCTGTGCCCACAGCCACACAGCCACACAGCCACGGCTGCCGCACGCCGCACCTACTCCTCCTCCTCGCCTGCCAACGCCTCTGGACACACGACGACACCTTCCCCGGCAACGCACTCCGCCTCCTCCAGGACATGCCTCCCAGCCACACACAGCCCTGCCACCTCCAAGAGCCGCCCTTCTTCCCCGACACCCTCCTCCACCCCAACCTCGGCCCGCACCAAGCCGCCGCCACCGCCCTGCGCATCCTCCAGCGCCTCTTCCACACCCTCAGCTCCAACAGCAACCGCCAGCACTGGCCCAGCCACGCTCGCAACCTCCTCCTCAACAAACTGCAGCACCACATCCACCACCTGGAGCAACGCCTCCCCGACAACGCCCTGCTCTCCAAAGGACCACGCAACCCGCGGCTCGCCATCAACAAGTACTTCAGGGACACCCACCCCTCCCTCCACACCCACAGCCACAGCGCCTGGGACCACCTCCGCCTCGAAGCTCGTGCCTCTTTACGGCACCTCCACAACCTCACACCTGCCAGGCGCCGCTAGCGCAGACACCCACACTCCAACCCACACCTACCACCCAAACCCACCTCCAACCCCACGCCTCCTCTCACCTGGGACCAGAGACAGGGCTGCAACAACCGCACGCCACCCGCAGCCCCCAACCACTCCCTCTCCCATTGATTCAGCCTCTCCCAGTGATACGGGCAAAGGACTTTCTCCACTTATTTCTAGACTGATTTATTTATTTGTTTCTTTATTTATTGATACACGTATTTATTTTTCTACTTGTTCACTTATTTATGCCGCTGAAAATAAAGACCTACGACAAAACACTTACCATTCCCTCTCATCTCTCTGCACAGCAACCAGTCTCTGGGCCAGCCAAAGCCATCCTCACTCCACACCTACCCCAAGCCTTCCTCCAAACAGCCTCTGCCCACTCTTTGGAGAAACATCTCTTGTTGTTAGATATCATCACCACAATTATATCTTGAGTCCTTGTTTCCTTTAGTAGTTTCCAACTTCCTTGCCAGTTTTTCCATCTGAAAGCCTCTTGTCAGGGAAGTCATGGACCTAACGGAGATATTACACTAGAGGGCTACAAACAAAATAAGTGCATCAGAGCACTTCTGGTATCAAGATAGGTTACAAGTTTTATTTAGACTGAAGAAAGCTTTGAGCTGACCTTGCTGTGGCCTTTTACCTTTTCATCGGACCTTACGAAGAAGAAGCAAACTGAATTTTGAACTGCATTTGCAGTGACAGACAATGGTCTACAGGGAATGTCTCTAAACCTAAAGAGTAGGTTTGCATCAGGCATTAGGGAGAAATTCATTACTATGAGGACTGCAAGGCACTGGAACATGCCCTAGAGTGAGCCAGAATACCACATTCCTGCAAGTGTTTAAGGCCAGACTGGATGGGTTTTCTGCAATGTGATCCAGGAGAAAGTTTCCCTTCCTATGGCAGAGTTGCTTGCAATCAGATTACCTCTTTCAACTTAAAGTATTTTAGGACTCATGCTGACATTTTGGAGGACTATGGAACCAAAATAGGAAGAGGTAAGAGCTTGAGGAGGAAGGAACAGAAGTGTGACGGCAAAGAAGGTAGTCCCATTTCCCATCCTCCTATGTCACCTGGGAGATGAAGGTAGAGAAATTTATAAGTGAAACTGAGTCCAGGAAATCATGAAAGGTGAAAGGAAGGTGTTCTGTAGATTTGGTTTTATTTCATTATTTACTTGTCAACTGCATGATTTGATTGCTAGTGAGTTAAACTAAATTCCCCAAGCCATGTCTCCTTTGCCCATGACTGCAACCAGCAAGTAATTTCTCTCTGTACTTACCTCACCCCACATGCCTTTCAGGGTGTACTTTCTCCCTTGACTAGATGAGGTGGGGAGTGATAGAACACCTTGGTGGTCACCAGGCATCTAGCCATTTTTAAGACATTACAATATATACCTCTTGGCCCTGCAACTTCAAATATTTTGCATCTTGTTGCCATAAAGATATTTCAGTTGCATTCAGATGCATTTCAGTTGACAGTTTCTCAAGTAGCACAACTTCCTCTAGTAAAAGTCTTTATTCATGTGCTCAACTTTGGAGTTTTTTTACAGAGTCTGCAGTCTGACAGGGTTTTGTCTGAGTTGTCCCTGTACTCACCTTTAAACTATCTGACCCTGACTGCTCCAAGGTCTACATGGAATACCTGGTACTTATTTGGGCCTTACATTATGGCATTCATCTAGTCTTCTCTGATCACTGCTCCATTTCTGCCTCAACAGATACACCACATCACTCTTGTATGTAACTGTTCTCAGCTACCTACTACCAAACCTTCTCTCCAAGTTCCTTAACCCTACATATCTGATAGGAAAATTTTTTATCATTTTGCAATCTAGACTGAGGCCCCTTTTGCATCTATCTGGAAGCTCAGCCTGTCTCATATGCCATTTGCATTCTGGATCCATATAAGGAAAAAAACTTAGTACAGCCTCCCTCTTACAGCTCACCTGCATTTGTTGCCATGATGTACATGCAAAGACCTATACCTATGACAACATCCAAAATCTCAGATACACCTACTGGCTACCAACTTGTGTACCTGCTGTTCAACTTTACCTCTTGATAAAAGAAAACACTTAGGACTTCACTTAGATTAGACAAAATGTCATAATGTTGTTACAAAAATTTGACATTTCTCACTCAGGAGCACAGAACACACTTGTGTCTATTTAGAGATTTGCAGCTGGACAAATGCATGATGCAACAGTTGCTCTGTATCAATTTACATAATCCTTGTATAAATTTAAAAAGAAAGAATATAGAATATAAGTAAAAGCTCTTAACCACTGTTAAATGAATCAATTTATGTGGCACAAATCATCAACAGTGAAGACAACTTCTTTAAAATTAAGTAAGTCATTTACTTACCATTGGCAGTCTGGATTGAAGCATCTGGAGATCATCATAACCATAAATCTGCTTTAAGACAGATAAAAATACAATATCATTATAACACTTTTTTCTGATGCTGATCAGTTTGGGGCTTTGAACTGAATTTGACTTAAGCCCAGTCTGTGTTAAAGATCTACAGTCGTATGTCACATTGTGTTATCATGGGGCACTGCAGCATTTCAAGGAGAGTAGGACTGAAGTTAGAAAGGTTTGTCACTCTGATGTTGTTTCCTGGTGACAACTTCCTCTGAGGAGAGTTTGACTGTCTCATCTTCAGCACAGTTTTCACAGACACATCATTCCTGAACTTATGAAAAATCTACTGGGCATTCAGATTTGGTAGTAAGAACAGCCCTCTTTGCTGTAACCATTACTTCAAAGAGCACTAAGATTAAAGAGTTGATGACTTGACCACAACACAACCTCCTGGGTATCTCCTCACATTTAGTTTGATATAGAAAAGTTACTGAAGGTTCAGATTCAAAAACCAGATAACCAAAAATACGTTGAAGCTGGTCAGACATCAAAAAGCTATGTGCAGTCTTTCAAATCATGATAGACAGGCCACATGGCACATTTGAGTCACTACTATGGCAAATCCATTCTAGTAACACAAACCTAAAATAGCCTAAATTTACTCAAAGGGCCTAAAACCTGTTAACACTGAAAACCATAGCCACACCCATGTTTAGCTTCAACAGTAGCCAGATCAGGTCTGTACCAGAAGCTCTGCAGTTTACAATCAATAGTAAGCCTCTACTGAACATATTTCAGGTGTTCTTAGTATTTGAAACAAGAATTCCAGGTGTAACATGTGCCACCAGAAATTACTTGGCATAGACAGTAGCAGGTCTGGAGGGCCCATTTGCACCAAGGGCTAAGAAATCAAAGAGAAACAATGAAACTGCTTACTGGGTAGGCAGGCAGAAGTCCTCCAGGTCCCACAATATACTGGTTATGCAACAAGGGTGGTACACCTTGGGGCAGGTTTGGGGGTGCTTTGCCTGTAGAATCAAAATATAGACACTTTAACAAGCCTTTAAAAAAGGCTTCAGCATTGAGATAAGATAGCTCACAAACTGTGACAGCTACGCCATCTTACATTTTAAAGAGATTTTGTGCTGTTTGATGAAGGTGCTCAAAATAGCCTGAAGAGTTTAACCATGTCTCAAGGGAGGGAAAGCTTGGGCTACTTTCTCGTGAAAACAGTCCTATCACAGAATAGCCTGAATTTGTCATTTACTTTGCCCAAGAAGATTACAAGAATTACAAGAGTACAAGGATAACAAGATTACAAAACTTCTGTTTTGCTCAGTCCTTTCCTGAAGGCAAATTTAGAAATCGTTCTCAATCTGAGAGAGATAATTCTCTCCTTTCATTTCCTGCTCTGTCAATGCATTCCCTTTATCTCCAGCAATAGACTGGAAAGCGCTAAATGTTGCCACCATGCTTTCTGTGGTGACTTACTACAACTAGGAATAGTAAAGAGAAGACTGAAATGGTTTCAGCTGCCTTCATGAAGCAGTGCTAGGAAGCAGAACAGTAGAAGAACAATGCATTTTGGCCAGTCACAAGACACTTCATTTACAAGCTATAGAAATGAGAAATACTTCTGCAACTAAGCCTGATCCTTAACAATACATCACTTACTTCTCTATATAAGATTTCCTTTTATCAGTTCAGGATCATCAGAGAAGAAAGAATTTAGCATCACTTCAACTTCAGTGCAAGAAGCCTCCCAGCCCTCCTTCTCCATGGACCCTCCCTTCTGAAGTGCTATTTTCTGTGCAATGACCCAGACATTTCTTTCCCTTCTGTGGAAGTGGCAGTAGGGATGTGACACATGATAATGAGGTCACTACAGTATATTTTGATACTGCCAAATAAGTCACAGAGCAGCCTGAAACTAAAGCTTATGTGAACTCATAGTCAGGAGCTAATCACAGCTCAGAACACAAACTGGGTGAATTTTCTAGCCCAAAACTTCCCAAGCCAGAACTGTTCTGGTGTGTATTTATAAAGCTCTTTGGGGATGGAATATGCTATACAAATGCCATATAACACCCTAACAAATATTTCAAATACATAAAATCAGGAAACTTTATTTCATAAGCCAGCAAATAAAGCATGCTGGAAATGCCAGTGAAGAGTGTGGACTTCTTAGTGTTGTTATGGAGGGTCAGATGCTCAACTGACATCCCCGCTGACTGAAATCCTCTGTCTATCCACGTGACCTGTCAATACTGCCAACCTGAAGACACTAAGGGAGCTGCCCGTGTGGTAGCAGCTGGTATAGACACACTGGTAACACTCAGGCCAAGGCTGTTGGTAGTGTTCATACTGCTTGTCATGCTGACAACCGAGGAGGTGGTGCTAGTGGCTGAGGTTGAAGCAGTTGAAAAGGTTGTTGAGGGCTGGAGCGAAGTTGTGTTCTCAATACTAGTGTGCTAGAAAAGGAGACAAAAAGAATGAGGATCACAGAGCAAATAAACCACAGTGGAAGATGCTGGGGAAAAGGGAAAAAAAGCCCAAAACAACAAAAACTTCTAAAGTAACAGCAGCACATGCAAAAGATATGCATTGTCTATGTAC